GTGTACATGCCACTTTGTACATATGGAAATGTCAACATATCGTGTAAAAGCAAATTAGATTTGTTTCTGTACAAAGCAGACACACGTACATATGAAATAGAAATGTTTATATTTTCATCTGACAAACAGATAGAATCATCTGAGTTTAGTTTATTCTGTTTTCAAAGAAAGTATTTTTAAATAGTTAAGTAAATACTGTGAATTTGACAGGCATACGCAATTATATATGTATTGAAAAAGTCACATTTACAGATGCAAATACATATCGTGTAAGGACACCTTAGATGGGAAGAGTACCCTCGACTTGTGAATTAAAATGTATCACAATTTATACTGAGTACATGCAAAGAACGTAAATCTATAAGATGAGGCAACACGTTATAATTGTAGCGCGTGTGAACATCAGGAGCGTGTCTTCTCTTTTCATCCAATCACAAAACGTATTTTTATAATATTTTATTAATTAATTTTCCTGCAGCTAGAAAAAGTGCCAGCGAATAGGACCGGGCCAGTGAAATCTTCGATATATTTCCGATAAATATTAGAGAAGGCTACGATTCTTTCGTCATTCGTATGATAATCCGATCTGAATTACCTACAAATGAGGTAATTCGCTCACAAAATTTTCGTAAGGTAATTGCATGGCGAATGACGAATGGAAGAGCGAACTACGAAGCGTGGAAACGTCGTATAATACCTTGCCTACAAGAGTTGACACTGACGAAAAAGAATACTTACTATCCACTTGAAAAACATCTACCAAATCCTGAAAATTTATACCAATAAATTATTTAAATAAAAACTATAGTTATATTTATTATGTTATTTCATTTCATTTCATTTCATTATTTCAATCAAAAATTATAAAACTAAAGATAACAACGAAACAGCAAAAACCGCTTGTTTATTTTTTTAATATTTACAATGATTTTCAAGTAAATTTTTTTTGCTAGTTTTTATTTTTTGTGAGAATATTGCTTGCGCTTCAACCAAACTTATAAAAATGAAAAAATCAAGCCCCATATATTGTTTTTGATAATTCACAAAAATTTCGAATAACTCTTCAAGTTTTTACTCTGAATTTTTATAACATTTTTTGGAACGCAGTTTTATAGCCCATGGAATTTTGTGGAACCAAAAAAGCTAAACTTTTTTTTTTTATTTGACACTTACCATTTATAAAAGCTGGTGTTAATTACATATTAGTTAATTACATATCAGTTAATTTTATTTTTTTTAATTTAAGAACCTTTTAAAATATTTAGGTCATCAAAAGCTCCTCACGATTCCAGCAAAATTTGTTTTGAATGGAACACCATACGTTCAGTTTTATCGATAACTTTTTATAAAAATATAGTTCACAGTACAACAAAAAAACATAAATACTCGAGAAATTTCAAAAAAATTGCAACTTTCTAATCAGATAAAAAAAATGTAAGTATGCAGTTTTATAGCCCGTTTAATTTTAGTATAAAGTACTTTTGCAAAGAAATTTGTAATAAAAGAATTACTAAGAAAAATAATGGTTTGGTTTTCCTTTACGCCCGATTTTGTTTCACATACTACGTTCGAATGGGTCGGCCAAATTTAATTTTTATCTCATGCACATTAACTAACAGAAAGGAGAATTCTACTTAGTATGTGTTTAATTCCTAAGCGCGGCCGAAGGCCGCCAACGCAGAAATATATTGTGTGCAAAAGGTGTTGCGTCCCTTTTCTTCGGCAACACAGAAATGAGAAAAGTCTTTGGGGAGTTTGTATGCTGTTACAACAACAACCGCCTACACAGAATGAACGTTTTCAATAGAAGCCTCCGGAGCCTGGGGTTTATGAACAAGAAATGTTATATACCCTTGGCGACCTCCTCTTGTCATGCAACACCTAATGGTTCAAGTCATTGCCCTCATCTACTCAAAACAAGCGAAAACGCAAGTAAAAATTGTGATTTGTGGCCTAGGCGGTTGGGAGTTAAATTTTTGAAAACTGCAGTTCATGCCCTCCCTAAAATGGGGTACTGGAGGAGCTATGCACCTCCCTCTCCACCCGCCACGCACACAACGATCGGCCGTAAAGAAAAGTTTCCCCAAAATAAAGCGGCAACCCAAATTTTATTTGCTTTTCAAATAGAACACACACCTTAACAAAAATCTACCAAAAAAAAAAATACCTTCTTACCAACCCAAATTTTTTTACCAGGAAATAATTTAGGAAGCTGGCTACCATGCTACATTGAAAATCTATTACAAACGTACTTGCAGTAGATCAGCTGTGTTTGACAGTTATATTTGACATTCGGCTCCCGTATCGGTTTAAGGGCTGAATGCACAACACAAGCGGCTTGTCAAACATACTATTTCCAACCAACTTTTCCTATTTCGGCATGGACCATGCAAATATTACTCGTTGAACCAAAGAATTTGGTTTTCTTTCGGTTCCCATTGTTAAATGGCGGCCAGAAACTCAACACATTTTGATTTTTGTTCAAATGTCCCTCAAACGGTTTGCACAACTACAAACACCGCCATACACAACACAGCAAAGGGATATTTCGATTGGTTTATCAAGCCGCTTGTGTTGTGTATCTCGCGCTTTAGAACATTTGGCGGCTGGGCAATGCATGGAATTTCGCATTAGTTATTTTATAAATTTTAAGTGATATTGCGGCTGAATTATATAAAAACTTAAGGAAAACGTAATTCCAGTGATAGCAATGAGTGCAAACGGCAATGCGATGTAAGTAGAAGATTGCAAAAAGATCGTGAATATGTATAAAAACTAATTTCTGCAGCACCGATTGGAAGCGCCTCTGGCAGTTGGTATCTGGCATACACCATGAGACACCGGAAAGTACCGTGCGGGAAGAATTGCTTAATGTATCGAAAGAGTTGCAGGATGGTGTGCTGCAGTTTCGTAAACGTTCTGCGTCGAATGTAAAATTGGAAGACTTGCTGAAGGAAAAGAAGCAACAAAAATTGCTACCATTCACGCAGAATTTGCAAGAGCTCTTGGTATGAAAACAATAGATGAATTCTGACTTTCTTTGAAATTTGCACTAATATTACCCGTTTGTATGTTAGGACCTGGAATCCCAACAATGTTGGGAGATACTCTGCTACTACCTAACCAACGAATATCGCGGCTCTGCAAGTTCGCTCACCGCACACATTTCTTCGGAGAGTAACATGAGCAAACTCCTAGATGACATATGGGGATACTATACACTTGAACGTATGATCGTTTTGAAAATCGTTAAAAATTTGTTACTTTTCTACAAAGTTCCTAACCATCCCTATCATGCGCAATACAAAGAAATTTTAAATAAAATTACACTGCCAAAACTACGCGATTCCTACCTCAATCAGCTGGAGCAACTAATCAACGAGTATCCGCCTAACCAGTTGGCCAACGGTGAATTTTTCGATTATCATACGCGTCTAATTATCTGGTCAGAAGGAAATGCACGCGAAATTAACGAAGTTCTACACGTTCTACTGCTTATTTGCGAGCATTTGCCATTTGAACTAAAGCATATCGAAAAACTATTCAACTGCTTTAGACAGCACACTTTTGGGCGCCAGCAAAGTTATTTAGACATCGGAAAGCCCTTGCATAACGAACTGATGACACGCTTAGCATATTCGGAGACCATATTGTTATTGAAGTGTTTTGATTTAGAAGACACTGCTTCAACATTGGCGTTAAATATTATCGATTCCTTAGATAAGGAAATAATACGAATGTATCATAATCCAGAAAATGGGCCACTTTTATTGTCGTGGATGTTACTCAAAATTCGTTTTACAAAAGCTACAGAGGAAGAAGAGACGTTCTTGCCATGCCAGCTTATGGGAAAGAGGGCCATTGGTCTAAGATGTTTTGAGTATTTACAAAATCTACTCACCAACACAATGTATAAGGTATCTATTGAGACATTTTCCGTACAAATATCAAAATAAGATTGGTGTTTTTTAGGATGATTCCTTAGTTTCGCGCATTGCACGTAAAACTGTGTACAACATGCTTACGTATATGTGCGAGTTCTTTGATGGGGATGGTTCCTGTGCACGTCATCCGTATATATATGAGCTTCTATGCGAGCTACTCTCTTGGCCATCATTGGCGAAGGAATTTTGCGCGGAAGAGGGTAATTACCCAAAAGTCAGATACTATATCCAAATACAAAGCCTAACTTCTCGTTTTTGTAGAAAAGGGCGTGCGCTCACTTTTCAATACACTTTTGGAAACATTTCCTATTGATTTTGTGCATCTTTCAATGCTAGCAAACTCACTAACCAAAGCGGGCATTTCATCATTTGTAAGCAATTTAAAGCAAAACTATTTAAATGTCGATTATACTGCTTTGTTTTTTAGATAAAGGCCCAATTAGAGTCACTGCCCATATTTACCGATTTATACGATGAAAGTAAATACCCCTTGCGTGCCATCAACGAAGAGGAATACATTCTGACCGCCAACGTAATGCCTTTTCCACACTTAGATTTCAACATTTCCGCCAATACAACAGCAGTTGTATTGCCTCGGCCCGAAGGCTATTTTGTGCATTTTCGTATATCTCTCAATTATTTTGTTGTTTTACATCATGAAATCAACTGTTTGCTCGCCGAGACTGTACAAACCCAAGGCGATTGGCAGCAGAATGAACGCGTGCGCCGTATCAATGCCGGTCTCGAATACTTGCAAAGTGTACTTCAACGCACAAAATCGCTCAGCGCAATAAGTGCTGAAATGGTGCATCCTACCGAAATGTGCATTGATTTGTTAAACAAATTCAAGGCAGTGCCTCAGCCACCTGTACAGATGTTGGCGAATTGCTTGAATGTCTGCACTATGCTATTGCCGTTAGTGGACGCCGAGATTTTCGCACGTGTCATAACTCTTGATATTTTGCCAATGATTACTAACGAAACGCTCGAAAATTACAAGGATTATGCGTTAGGCATCTGCTTTGATTCTCGCGTAGTTGGCACTTATTTGGTCGATGTGGAAAAAAAATTAGAGCGTTATGATTTTCTGTTAGCCTATTTGGGGTTTTTACGCTCGTATACGAAGGTGATTTTCCAAAAATTAAGACATATTTTTCAATTAATTTAAACAAGTTTCTTCGCCAAACAGTTGCAACGAAATAAATTCTTGAAGATAGAAATACCCGGCTTAATATTTTTGCTCCGCGAAGTATTTCCACACATGCACGCCTGGGGATTTCAAAGTCAATCAGAGCGTCACAAAATATACATTGAAATTATGGGTTTCGTTTGCGACATCTTGGATACCGTAACAAGTCTTGGTAGCAAAAATGAGAAAATAAATTCGGATAAACAGTTTCTGCGTGACGTATGCACACACAGTTTATCGAATATGGAAAACGGAATGATGCTCTTGAGGTGCATTTGTATTTAGTTCTTTTTTTTTTTAATTCAATCTAATATGCATAATTTCCCTACCAGATTCGTTGCTCTGGGCAATGCTTACTTGCAACATACCATGGAGATGGAGTCAAATTGGATGATTCAACAATCGCATGGCATTGTGCTACTTGTACGCTTAGCTATGCGTATTCTCATGCAACTATTACGGCTAAAGACCTCAACTTTGGAATCAAATGAGCTCTCTCCGCTCGAAGCGCTTATTTACACACAACCCAAGCAACGTGATACACTCCGTATTATTCCAGTTGTTACTAGTTACATGAGCAATATTTTCGACCGCTGGCTGCCCATTCTCTCTTGTCGCCTTTTGCGTCGCATTGCGCTCGAATTCAATATGTCACTGCTGGCATGTCTCGATATGGAACCGGATCAAATACGTCTAACATTTCTGCAGCGCTTACCTGATGAACTAGAAAGCGATTCACTAAAGGTAGCCATTCTGGAGTTAGTGGAGGCTTGCATCGAGAAGCAGCCAGGTGTCACAGAGGCATTTTTCAAAGTTAATGCCACCCAAGAAAAACGCTTTCTAGGCAAGGAGGTTGGTGTACAAATCGCCGATAGCATACTGACTTTCCTTGAAGATTATCTGGAGGCTGTAGGTAAAGATCCGAAAACTGTGGAACATTCATTGCCAAGCAAAATAATGAATATTTTCCATTCGTTGTGGAAGAATGGCATGCAGAGTTTGGTGGAGGATCTCACTAAGCGTCCCAAATTTTGGTTACAACTCTGCAATCCTCTCTTCAGTACTTTGGATTCAAATGCACGTGTATACACCCAGCTATTAAATATACTCTCAATTGAAATATTTTCTACAACGACAAATGGTAATGGTGAGTTAAAACAAGTTGTTTCGCGCTTCTTTGAAACGCCCAACTTTTACAAATGGATCAATTACGTTTTTGATATGCCCAAAACGCCGGCTGCTGATCCTTATTGCGCCATTGACGTTTTCAGTGAAGACGTGCCTGAATGGCTTTGTCGGCTGGCAGCATTTAAAAGCTTCCTTATCATACTTTTAAAAAAGCAGCCACAATTTATCGAAATACCGCCTAAGCAATTAAAAAAATTGGCTGAGGAGACGCTCGTGCACTTGGTGGATCGCGCCGAATTCATCGAAGATCTGCGTCCATTTATCGTGCTTAGTGAGTTGTATCTCTTCGTGCTGCTCAGCTTCAAGCTCTCATACACAGATACGCCTGAGGAGGATGTTGAAATGCTGAAACAGATTATAAAGCTACTCAGTCGCCTATCCTCTTGCTACGAGGACTTGCATATACGCGCCAAGGAAGCCTGCCTGGCATTCACAATCAAGTGCGCCGACGTGCTAGCAGTTGAGTTATTGAACGACTCCAACTCGGCGCTAAATTTCCTCTATTCGGTAGTAAGCATCATTTGCACAGAGCTACAAACTTTAGAGAATAGCGCACGCGTAGAGAATCAAGCCAAGTTGGAACTAGAAAACCTGCAACAAAGCTCATCAAACTCTCTGGTATTGAGTTTTAATCTACTCAAAACTGTGGCAAGCATCTTCCACGATTCCGGTCCTGGCAATTGGGATCTGCCTTTCATCGTAAATAAAGTATTTCAACGCTTGTTGAGCTGCGCTAGAAGTATACTGCAGCTGTACAGTAAGCAAAAACTAGCTGTCGAGTTGCTCGACGTATTGATTGTATTTGCGAAAGGCAACTGCTCGGCAGAATTTTTACACTGCGATGTGGGTGATTATTTGTGGCTGAAATTGTTGCCGCCTAAGGATATATTGCAAACCAATTTTGCAGTTATAGGGCAAACAAAAACTGATGACAATAGCTGGACTGTGCAAAAGTGGTGGCCCATCTATACGCGTGGTATTACTTTGGTCACGATTATGTTTGAGAAACATAAGCATTACTTCGTAAAACAAGCATTGCAATTCGTTGGCATTCATGAGCAATATTTGGTGGACTCATTGCTGCTTGCTAAACAAACACTCGAACCGTTAGCCATGGAGTTAATTAAGAGCGCTGTTACTTTGGTATCAAATTTGGTGGAATTCGAGACGCTTTGGCGTTTGGAACATTCGCAGTCGCTGTTCAACTTGATGGTGAGTGAAAGATTTTATAGTTAGGCAATTAGTTAAGTTACTGACGAACAAATGTATTTCCCTTGTAAACTATTACAAAAATCATTGCCTTCCTTTTGCCGTCTGCAGCGCGCCGTGCAAGTGCTCATGGGCCATTGTATTTCAATGTTCCATCAACCGAAAAATCTTAAATGTCTCATAGCAGGTCGCGGCTTGCAGCTGGATATATTATCGGATATAGAACGACCGGGATTTACCGATGAAGTCATAAGCGCATTCAACAAGTGAGTAAAGGCTACGCTTTTAAACTTAGATTAGCTAAACGCGTTATTTAACTTCCACACAGTCTCACTGAAATCATCACGCTGAGCGTACAGAGTCTGCTGCGCTTCAGTCCAAAGCTCTTGGATTTGATATGTTCGCCTGAGTTTTTAGTTACAAAATATGAGCCTATTTTCGAGATACATTTTGGGGCGCCCAAGTTGAATGAAACCGCCATGACACTTTCTTTTGGAACAGTGCTGAGCATTGTTGGTGTGTTCACGAAAGTTTTGAATTTGGTATGTAAACACAAATTTGTGAGGCGGCAGCTGATTACTTATTTTCTAATTTCAGCAAGGTCATGGCTTCCACGAGGTGCCGCTCAATGTAATACCTTCTACTTCCAGTGAAGGCACAAGTGCAACACAAGCAGGTGCAGCTGCTCTCGCACGAACTCAACGCCAATTTTCCAAATCAGTTTCCATTACATCTGTTTCATCGGCGAATTGCCCACCAAACGAGTTATTATGCAATCTTGATGGCGAACTCTGTTTGCTTGCGCTCGAGCACATACTCATGTTAGCCGCCTCGCAGAGTATGTTGGCGTTGAAAAATCCTTACTTGCCTGCACGCGAAAAACAAATTGTACGGCGCGAGATCAGCACCGAATTGTTAACTTTCCACGAATTTGTTCGCAAGAAGGTTCTGATTGAGCATCGCGAACACCGCGAAATGTGGTATCGACGCAAACATGGCCTGGTTTATATGCAGTTGGGTGATGGTGCTGGTGTTGGTTCGACTGCCACAAGTAGCAGCGCATCGGCTAGCGGCAGCGGCTCTACAACGATGGCGCGCGGTGCATCATCAACCGCACAGTCTACTGCGCGGCGCCATTCAATCGACTTGCGTGTGAACGTGGTCCGTCGTCTTTATCTACAACAAGAACATAATCGGCAACAACAACGTACCCCAGCATCCACTAGTGGCGGTAATGACTTCGAAATGTCGCACGTGATAAGTCCAATTGGTGCTGGTGGCGGGCGTACTCAGCAGCCAGCAGCGGTCTCTTCCACACCACAGCTGTCGCGTCCACCTCTCCGGCGGCAAGGCGAACCTACGCAAACGTTGGGTAGTAGTGAGCTGAAGCGTAACTGTGGCGTAGAAAGTGTGAGCGGTAGCAACAATGAACCAGATGCAGAGCAGGTGGAAGAAGTTGACGAAATACAATATTTCCCACCTGATGAGCCTAGCTACACGCCTCTCTCGTACGTGCAGCTGGTGGAAGAAGATTATTTGCACTTTATGTCAAATCTATTCTCGGTGATATGCCAGAGTGATTAATGGGTCAGAATAGGACAGAGTGGAGAGGTGAATTTTTTAGCATTCGTTGTCGACTGTAGCAACAAAGAATAAGTATATATAAGTACGATATTAAGTGTGTGAAGCTTTGCCGACTAAAAGTAGCAATTATGCAGCAACTTAGTTATAATTTTATAATTTTGTGAAAATACAGTTTTCTATGAACAAAATGAAAATGGAGTGTATAAAAAAAATAACGGATTTTCAACAAATCAAGATGGCTGGACGGGAAATGGTCAAATCAGAGATATAATTGACGTTTATTAGAAGGTCAGTTAATATTCCATATGCTTTTTTTCTTAATTTTTCCATTACAAACTATTATTTTTTGGGCATTGCGTATGGCTTTTGATATTTTTGCATGTTCGCCATTGCAGGGTTAAGCATTAACAAATAATTTTTTTCGTCATAAGCGCTCACTGATCAACGTATTATCTACCTACCTTCGTAGTAATATGCATGTATTTACATATATACATATTTGTGCATATACATGATCCTCTCATTCATATACATACATATGTATGTACATAGATTTGTTACCCCCATATAAACTTGCAAAGACTGACGTTGTCAATGGGACGATGATGAATTTGAAACACATACAAACATGATCGTTGTTTTGGCGATTATAGAAATTATGTATGTATATACATATTATGTAGATATTTTGTGGACATATGCAGCTGTCCACAAAATAATAGGAGTGCGATATATTTTTCGGTTTTGACTTGTTTCTTTTCTTTATTTAATGTTGATTAATTTTTTATAAAAGCATAGCGCAAAACCTAAATAACCTGTGCAAAAATTACAAAAATTCAAACTTATACAGATGTTTTGTAAATCTTAGTGTAATAAAGTGCAAGTTTTAAGTGTACAAAATACAGTTGATTTTTGGATTTTTTTGTCGACAGTCAAGCATTTTCTTCCAAAAAAAAACATGCTCCACACTTTTTTGATATGGAAGAAAATGCCTAGCACTGTCGACAAAAGAATTTGTCAAAAATCAACAAGATTTGCACTTTATTATACTAAAATTTAATGGGCTATAAAACTGCATAACATCTTCCTAAAGGCTCCTAATAAACATTTTAAAATTTTAGCGAAAATGTGTTTAATTTTCAGCCGACTTTAAAAAAAAAAGAGATATGTTATTTTTAACCGAATTCACAAAAAGGAGAAGGTTATCAATTCGTTGGAATATTTTTTTTATATTTTTATGTATGTTACCGCATAACTTTGGACCACTTCAATCGATTTCTATAATTTAAAGGAAAGGTGTTACCTCACAGGTGGTCCCATACTAATTTGGTTTAAATCCGATCATTGGATCCTGAAGAAATTGACGATAATCTTAAATTATGGCTTGAAAATTGAATTCGGTTTTGGGGTTTGCTTACAAATTCCTTTTTTTTAATATATCGGGCCGTATGAATAATATGATTTTTAAGCAACAAGTAATTTTTAAGCAAAAAACGAAACCGACTTCAATTCCTGTATAAAAATTTAAGATTATCGTTAATTTCTTTAAGTGCCAATGATCGGATCTATGCCTTTCCTTTAAAAAAGAATTATAGAAATCGCTAACGTGGTCCAAAGTTATACGGTAACATATTTATGTACACAAAAAAAATTATTCCCACGAATTGATAACCTCCTCCTATTTTGAAGTGGGTTAAAAATAAGCAATTGCTTTTTTTTTTAAATATCAGACGTTTTACTCGATTTATTCAAACAAAATTGAAGAAATTGAGGGATAACTTTGGACCATGTGAGATAATTTATTTTTTATCGGAACACCAGGGGTGTATCAATATGATTTACACCCGTATTATAACAAAGTCGCAAAACTCAGCGCATCACTATTGTGATTTCTACTGCGCTGCTGCGACAAATATGGGTGCGTTCAGAAATGCATCAAGCCAAAGCATGAGTCTCTTTTGCTTCTAAACTATAATTGATGAAATGCCTTATTTACGCAAATAGGTTCCAATTAGGCATTTAACCGTGGTTGCGCATATTGGACATTTCCATCAATTATAGTTTAGAAATAAATGCGTATGATGCTTTGGCTTGATGCATTTCTGAACACACCCTATGCCGCTGCAAAAAAAAAGAAATGTTTAACTTGTGTGCATTTTCTTAGCACTTAAAATATATCTTTTGTGGAATATTTTCAGGCACATTAATAATCACAATAGTGATGCGCTGAGTTTTGGGACTTAGCATGTTATGGTTTGGAGGCGTCGATATGAGCATTGAGTGGGTTGGTTTTTTTTTGCCTAAAAATGACTTGTTATAATTTTTGCACGTAGTTTGAAATTTGGATTTATTTGGTTATTTTAGATAATGAGCTATATTTTTATAAAAAATTAGTTTACAATTGTATGTACTATGTATGTAAATCCATGTGTCTATGTCCAAGTACATTGAAGTACAAGCATATGTATGTAAGCCATGTGACAGCCGGTCAAATGCGTGTGGGAAGAAGCTGATCGACATAGACATATGAGCCGTTCAGTGCACACATCGATTAACTCCACTTTTTGAAAAATCTTAAATTAAGTGTCAAAACACCTGGTATACTCGTAGTGTAACTTATTATGTTTATAATAACTTTATATAACATACAATAGTACATAATATTTATGACAACATTATTTATTTGATTTTAAAATAAATATGGAATTTTTAAAAATAAAGTACATTATTTGATCGCGTCTCCCAAATTTTTGTTGACCGGTTCATATGTATGTTCATATATACGGCAACACTTTACCGCTGATTTGTTAACGTGCGCAAACGAGCCCCCAAAAACACCGAATTAGCGTTGAGTATTCGTGACTGCAGCATTCGTTTAGTCGTTACCGCTGTGGCCAGGCTGAGGTGGATGCCTTGTGGAGGAAGTTTGAAAATCACGAGTTTATACTTAGTACATACAAAGTGCTCGGGACTATGACTATGCACTGTGTATATTTTTCCATACATAAATTTGCTGCACATACATACATATGCGTACTACACGCACACATACATATGTGTATATTTAACTAAATATGTAGGTGCATACTAACTTAAGGTACACATGAATGCGGAGAGCAAATAATAGATATCTGCTGAGCACAGGCAAGAGCAACTCGGTGTGGTCGAATGCCGAGTTTGATATATGTATTTGCTGGTGATTAAGTGAGATTATTGTGAGACGAAAAAAAAGAAAGCACAAGCGAATTTCATAAATTTTTGCTTATGTTCTCATATAAAAGTTTGAAAGAAATTCCAGTTTGCCTTAAAATTATTGTGAAATTGCCTGTTGAAAGCCTTGCAGTTAAACTAATTAAATGTGCTGCAGCGGCAAATGCAAACATGATAGTACTTATAAAAAGATGTTTAAAATTCAATTTGTAACGACAATACTCACCTACGTACATACATATGTATGTATGCACTTGTCTAGCAAGTACATCTCAAATAGCAATATTTACCTACGACTAAATTGACTCGAAATTAATTGCAAATTTTTACGCTCTGTCCAACTAATTTTCGTGAAAATTCGGGTTAAAAAATAGTTTAATCAGTACGTCGTTTTATTTATATAGAATGGCCCTGTCTATAATTTTTTTAGAGAGTATATCGACTGCTAAGTGGAAGATCGACCTATCTCGGCAGGCAGTTCGAAAACGCCCTATCTCAAAAAATTTTTCAAAAACGTCCTATTTCAGAATTTGGTCGAAGAACGCCCTATTTCAGAATTCGTTTCAAAAACGCCCTATCACAATACATTTTCAAGTGAGATAGGGCATTCTGAAATAAGGCGTTCTTCAACCAAATTCTGAGAAAGAGTGTTTTTCAATAAAATTCTGAAATAGGGCGTTCTTGAGACGTTTTTTTGAGATAGGGCGTTTTCGAACTGGCTGCCGAGATAGGTCGTTCTTCCAATCAGCAGTCGATATAGTCACCTAAACGGCAAAAAGCTGTAACTAACAATTTTTTTTTTGGCAAAAAACGATGTGTGAACTTGTAGGGCGATGAATTTTGAATTTTTCGTAAGTCACGGCCTTTTGTAATTCAAGTGACATTGTGAGTTACGACTTTTTGCATTTCAGTGGGGCTATTCTCAATCTTGCGGCATTCATAACATACGTCGGCAACTTGCGATGGCGTTTCGAAAATTGTCGCTAACTTGTTTGAGAATAGCCACACTGTGTGATGATATGCAGCAAATGTATATGTATTTGCAAACAAATGTATTTGGGTAATTTCCAAAGATTGGTAAATTTATCCTCTGAAATCGTTTACTGTCGTGAAAGTTTGTGCAGAATACGTAACTGCTTTTAGCTGTACCAAAATTATATTTTTTTTTTTTTTTGCATTTTTATGAAATATTTGCAAGAATGTCACTTTTTTAAAAGTAAGCTAAAGGATTAAATAAGCTTAGAAACTGCTAGAAAAAAGTATACTAACCAATTCCACATGACGAAATTATACCCTACAGAATCTCACGCAGCACAGTGGCAGAGCCTCACATAAAATATGGCAAAAAGTGTCAATTGCACTCCGTTTTTTTTTTTGTTTCCTAAGGAATGAAGAAATCTGAACAGTCGCATAGACTGGCATACTGCGACGCCCATTACACCAGGAGGCGGAAATGGTAAATGTTATCCGATTTTTTGTAATTCGGTTCGTATTTTAGTTTTAACCAGAAAAAACTTAATCTTTTTTTTTGCTTAGAAAGTAAAACTTAATTTTTGCACACAAACACTCCAGCCCAGAAAGTAGTAAACACGGTACCCACTAATGATATCAGGGCCATTTCCAATTCGTATCAGTTGGCACAAAAGGGAAACGACTGGCGAGCTTTATCGCCAGATCCACTTATCCACTGGCTATTGCGACAAAGAAAAAGGAGAATTGGCGACTGCTCGAAGGTTTAAAGCCACTGACGGCTGCGTAGAAGGTTTAAAGCCACTGCTGAGGGCGAATGAGAATAGGCAGAGAACGACACAAGGACAAAATAAAAAACAAAGACAAGGAAACAACAAAGACACTCCCGCACATAGATAAATTTAAAGATAAATATGACGGTGAATAAAAAGATAAGGATGAAAATAACAATGAAGAAGAACATGACGATGACGATGAAGATGGGGATGATGATGATGATGGAGATTAAGTTAAAGGTGAAGATGAAGATGAAAATGAAGAAAATGGAAATGACCTGACGGCGAAGTTCAACATGAATATGAATATGAAGATGCAGGTGAAGATGGAGATGAAGTTGAAGATGCATTTTTCCCACCTCACTTCGTCAGCGTATTCTTATTTATCTTCCCCTTTATCACCGTGTTCGTGTTCGCTTTCGGCTTCTTCTTAGGGTGCTTTTTCGTCTTCCGCTTTGTATTCATCTCATGCTCATATTCTTTTTCGTCGTTTTCTTATTCATCGTCGCCGTCGTATTCGTGATCGCCTCCGTATGCATGTTCGCTTTCTTGTTCGTCTTTGAATTCATCTTCGTGTTTGTGTTCGCCTTGGGCTTCGCACTCGTAATCGTATTCGTAAGGGTATTATAACTTTCTTCGCATAACGGTTGTTTGTAACAGCCTATAGGAATCGAGATAGATATAGACAAATGTACGCGTAAATGATTAGAATGAAAAGAGAAGTCGATTTAGCCAACCTGTCTGTCCGTCCGTCCGTCTCAACGAAATTTGGTATACGGATGGCCTTTTATACAAGGTAGGGTGCTGAAAATGGGCGAAATCAGACTGTAACTACGCCGCCTTCTCATATAACATTATGGCTGTATTTCTTTATTCATTCTGAACGTTTGGAATAAACTTTTTTGTTTACTTATTCTTTAGAACGTTCCTGATGATATGTAAACGTATATTTCAATGGCATTCTGTTCATTCTGGTTGTGAAATGGGTTTATCCGGAATGTATAAAGAAACGCAGCCTATATTCGAAAAATGCAAAAACTCCAAATTGCTGAAATTTAGTATGTGAAGTAAAATTTTGGTACAAAATAATATTATTATGAAATTTTTGGAAAAGGGGCGTGACACCGCCCACTTATGATGAAATACTGTATCTTAGTAGCCACTTCACCAATCCTTACTAAACTCGCTACGAGACTTGCTAAGGATCCAGCTAAGCAATTATTTCAAGAACTGGGGACGTCCATTTACTCCAAGTCAATATTTACAATAATCTCTTAACAATAAATTAAGATAATCTCTTAAAAATAATAAGACTTTTAGATAGTTTAGAGAAAGTTGTAACGACGAAATTTGAAACCTGCGCCGGGTATATAAAGTTCGGTTTCGCCCGAACTTATATGTACTTCTTTTTACTTGTTTTTATTTGACGCAACAAAACAAAACTCAAAATATAATGCTTATTTTTTTAGCAATAAAAAACGCCTTCTTCTTGGTTGGTGCTGTAACGGCCTAAGCAATTGTGGCCGAGCCCAATAAAAATATTAATTTGAAATGGATTTTTGGCTCCTAAAGGTATGCTACAACTTCTTTTTGCATTTTCGTTGTTAAATCAAACAAAAGCGCTAAAGTTACATTTCTAATTAGAGGATAACCAATGAACTTTTAAATTTTTGTTTTGCCTCCAACGTCTCCAATCGAAAAAACTCTTGCGCAAACAACACTCGGCACATTCACTCACATCCATGGTATGTCGGGAGCCCCGCTCAGTGCTATAATCAGATTATGCTTATGCTGCAGAGAGCGCCCTTTAAGAGACATTTGGTATATAGTATAATGCATAGATACATACATATGTACGAAATACTTACATATGTATATACTGGCATATAGTGGTGCTTAGGAGCAAAACGTAGGAACGAAAACGCAAACTCAGAGGTCTTTAGCAACAAGAGCAGCTGGTCTGTGAGCGAGCATGAGCGCAGCCCATAGTATTTGGTGGGAAAAGTGCACAACCATACACACACCGTACATAATGTATGGGGGTAGCGAGGTAAATGTGAAAGGCAGAAACATTGAACCAAATCAACTGATACAGCGCGGTGTGCTCGCCCAATTATGTACATATGTACATATGTATGTATGTACATATGTATAACAATGCACACATAGTCATAGCGCTAGTCATGCCTGCAAAATGTCTCATCGGTGCCGACAGCAGGGGTGCCACGGACAAATTTTTTTTCCTACCAAAACCAACCAAAACCTACCAATTTTTTTTTAGATTAATATTTTTTTCAACATCAAGTTCATTAAAAATTTAGATAAAATAAGATTTAGTAATGGCGCTTCCTTTTCTCGAAAAAAATTTCATCCCGTATATGGCAACATTATCAGAGTGCAGCATTTTAAAGAAAGAGCACGCAATATAAAGGTGAAGATGCTGAGAAAAGAACCCGAAAACTTGACAGTCCTGGCGCAGGGCAGAATAAATGCAACATTATTTCGAGAAAATAAAACGCTATAAAACTAAAAGAGAGCTAGTAAAATAAAAACAAATTAACTGCGTATAACAATTCATTTTACTGTACAAACTTATACATGTATATTACTCTCTTTACACATATATTTAAGAAGTTAAGCAGAATGGAGATCGCCTTGCTCCAAATTTTGTTTGGAGAAGTCTATCGTTCCCCAAGGTGTACCTTCGTGATACCCGGGCAGTCAAATATTTAGAATATGCTATGGGCTTTTCTCCACCAGCCCACTAAAGGCTCGGGACAATGCAAGCGCTTTTGGGATCCACGCTTTGCGAGACAGTAAGTCCTTTCGATGCCTTCAAACCCTTCATGTCCCGGAACGCACCCAGCGTTACGCTACTGTGGGCTCCCAGGTGGTTCAAAAGAGTTTTAAGGCTATTCAAAAGCCTTGAGGCCATTCTAAAAGAGTCTAAGACCTTTAAAGCTTCTACGAAGACATTCCCGAACACAGACTTCGATTGCGAAAACTTCTGCTTGGAATACGGTTTAGTCCAAGTGCACCTGCCACAGTACTCCCATCGTCCATCTTCGATCCGTCGGTATACCATATTTACCTGGGACCCTTCATCAATCATAGTTATTATCACTTCACAGCACACCCTTTCAGGAAGTCTGACCTTGTAGGGTTTATAGGAGGATAACTCGGGATCATCCATAAATGGCTGGAGAACATCCAAATAATGCCGAAGATCTCCACTATTCGTGCTGATCGCAGTGGGCAGCCGTAGGGCGCTCCAGCAGGCTTTCAATCAGAATAGACAGAGTAGGAATGCCTGTAATCATATCAAGGGCATCCTTAGAACAGGTGCGTATAGCTCATGTGATGGCCACGCGGACCAGTCGATGCAGCTTGCTCAAGGTGGCACCCGCGTTTACTTGATTATCTTTTGGCCATCAAGCCAGTACCACATCTATAACAACGGGTTTTACTACCGTATCGAAAGAACAATACATTAGTTTTGGGTGATATTCCCTAAGTCTTACCATAAAGTCTCTGACCGGTATAAAACGCCCTTGTAGTCCATGATTCAATAATAATTATTAAATCATGCTTGTAGTCTGGTTGATGACATTGCAGAGATGTGAGCTCCAATTGAGAGGATGTTTTCAGATACATATTTTCTATTCTTCGCAAACAATTATTATTGTCACGGAACCTACCAAAATGCAATCTAGCCTACTAACCTACCAAATGGAAATAAACCTACCAGGTTTGGTAGGAAAAGTGGATGTGTGGCAACACTGGCCGACGGCCAAACCAACTAGCATTCACCCATTTCGAGTATACCAGGCAGCCCACTTTTTTGCTTCTTTCTTTCGGCAGATACAAGAGCGCCAAGAGTTCACCCGGCCGTTCAGTAGTTCGTGAAAAGCCAATGTGAACGCTTGTTTGTTCCAACGCAGCAAAAGCAGCCAAGTATTGTGCAAGGAGTGCAATTGAAGCGTGTGCTTAGCAAATTGGGGAAAAAATAAATTTTTTTGAAGAGAAAAAACTCGATTAAATTTCAAGAGAAATACCAGATTTGTGAAATAGTTAAAATTCATAGAGTTAAAAGTGACACAAAAGTAAGCGAAAGACAACTGATAGAGTTGTGCAAACTGGTGTTTGCGAACACAGAAAAAAGAAGAAAAAAATTAGGAAAAGTCAAACTCGCTGAAGACAGTAGAAATCGGAAAATAGAAAAAATCTTCCCACACACTTTTTGACAGTTTTTCCTTTGTATAAAAGTAAAAAACTAAAAGCAGCAAAAGCTATTCTCAAAGTCCGTTTTTGCTGGACCCAAGTGTTGTGTGAAAAAATAATGATTAATAGGTCATCTTCAATAAAAAATTTGTGGTTGTTCAAAAACTCCCATTTAAATGCGTTACTGGTTGATGGATTTGTGAGTAAACGTGGTAAGGCGACTGCTTTAAATTTGGCCGATAATTTGGATGAATCAACGAATGGCAACGGTGTTAACGGCAAGAAAAATAGCAAAGCGTCGCCAGCAATAAACGGCAGTGCTAATAGCAGCAGCAGCAGCAGCAACAACGACAACACCCCCACCGACATTAGTGACAACAACAATTCGGCAAGCAGCAGCGCCACCAACTTAACGGAGGCAAAACAGCAAACGTTCTACAATAAAAATGTCTGGTTGGATGATCGTTCGAAGTATGGGCACACCGGTAAAGAGCTGCAGGATAAAATTGCCGCTGAGGTGAGTGCGTGTGAATATGGCCGTGTAATTGGTGGCAAAAAGCGGTCGTTGAACGTGTGACTGTTGCATTTGGTACTAATAGGTTCTTATCGCACACGTTTTACAAAAATGAAGTAACTAAAATTTTGCCATTTCTCAAAAAAAAAAAAAAATAATAATAGTTGTATGATGAAAGGAGTGCTTTTTTCCACCACATTACATAAAATGATATATTGCTTTATATTTGGTCGAAAGTAAATGCATAAGTACGCACATACTTACATACATATAAATTGTATACAGTTTTAATATGTGTACCTATGTATATGTATCTAATATCGAAAAGGACACATTTTGAGTTAATTCACGTTTTGTGATATATGTACGTGTCTATATAAATATATATATCACGTATGTATGTACATACAACTGATTACCGACGAATTAAAAACGTTTCCTCGTTTCCCTACCAACTTTGCAAGGTCTATCGATTTTCAAGCATGATATATCTACATAAGTCCTAAAAGTGTCCACCCACCAACACGCCCATGCACAATTATACGAGTAATAAGCGGTTTTTATACACGCACACAATTTCTTTCCTTTATTGTTTATGTAATTCAAAAAGCAGCAATTTAGTCCTTCGTGCGCTCAATGTGCTCCCTAAATGCAGTGAATACCTATGCACATATGTACATATGTACATATATGTACATATAAATAAACACAATGCTAGTTTATCTCTTACCTTTCTGCATACATATTATTAAGTGTTTCTTTTTTCTTTTTTTTTTTTTAAATATGTACCTATTTAGTACTTTCAATAAAAAAGCAGTGGACTTAAGTCATTGAAATAACTAAGCAATCTTAAACTAGTTCACAATATTTAAAAATAATAAATTATTTATTGCACATCATATTAATATAGTGTCTAGCCACCACCATTTTTTAATTTTATAAAAATTTGTATTATTTTATTTATTACAGTGGAAAAGCTTGTAGTCAACAAAATTTTTTGTATATGACTTTGCGAAATTTCGCCAGCTATCCTATGGTGCCTAAATGCGGAGTTAAAAAGAAAAAAAAACTATTAAAACTAAATAAAAGGAAACTAACTGTCGAAAGTTGTCAATACTTCGCGGTGCTATTTTCGTGAACATTGCTGTATGTTTTTTTATTAAATTTTTTCTAAGTACACTGCGTTATTATATGTCATACATTATGTACATACATATCTACTTATACATATGTATGTATATATGTCAATATATACTTAGTACAAAATTAGTAACGATTTCGTATGCATCAGTACTTGTTTTTGCCGCAGATTTAAATACATATTTTTATGTTGTTGACTAAAATTAATTTCCAAATGCGTATTTCTTCAATTTTAACAGAATTCGAATTTCTTTCAACACATTACCGACGTGACGTGATCAATCTTAAATCCACACAAATTTGTTTTGCACCATAAAAATAGAATGAAAGTCTTTTAAATTTAAGGAAAATATTAGACGAGCCCCTCTTTGTCGGATGTCTGTAAATAAGTACTGGAAGAAAATTTTGCAACGCAATTTTTCACCAATTTGGTATAGCTGGATTAAGAAATTTACTTTGCGAAAGAGTATAAAATAAAATTTTTGGCCATACTTACTGCTTGCTAATGCAGCTTACTGGAAATTAACTACCGTGCTTTTAGTGAAAGTCCCTCTAAAGTTCAATTAATCATTTGCCTAGAAATCACAGAAGTTTGGATTTATTATGTCTTAAAAGGATTTTTATCTAATCGCAAGCAATAATAAAACTCTTAACGCAATTTATTCAAATTTGTTTTATTATCTTGGAAATTTCCGCTGAGTATTTTTTTTATTAATCTCAAATAATGGTAGCACACCTGCTCATTATGGTTGAATTAAAAAATTATGACACTTATTTATAATTGAAATCAAACAGTTACGAAAGAGTTAAGCCTTTTTGGTTTTAGAAATTGTGACTTTAACAATTTAATGCGAATTACCGAAACAAACATCCATCTGCCTTAATGTAGAACTGCACACTAAGTTTTTCAGGTGTTGTCGCTTTCAGCGCTCATGCTTACATACATACATATGAATTAAATTAATAAATTAGGGTGTCCCAGATTTTTTTTTTGCGAAATTCGATACGTATACCATACCAAATTCCTCCCTTTTGACCGAAATAACTTATGTGTAAGTATTAGGGCGGAGCAAAACTTTCGAAGAAAGTGTATAGCAAATTTAAATTCTACGAATAATTTTAAGCAAAAATGGCGAACAAACTATATACCTCTCAATTTTAAGGACATTAAAGGATACACATTTCATATAGGACATTTTTCATTTTTCTTTAAAGGTACGATCCGAGCGGAGCGAAGCTTTCAAATTAATATATCTACACACATGAAAGTGTTAATACAACAGAAAGATTTTCAGAATCGTTTTGGAGTTGAAAGCAAACATTTTTTGATTTTAAATTAATTTATATATTTTTTTGCAGCAAATTGAGCAAATATTTTAGCCGTTTTTCATTTAAGGTAACTTTTTTGATACAGTCCAGTGGGAAAATGTAATGTATAGCAAGCGAAAAAATATGCAGTAAAACAACCCTTTCCACATTCGAAAATGCATTTTTTCCCCACCAATACCTTTCCTTCGCTCGGCGCCGCTCGGCTTTCTGTGTGAACGCACTCTTATCCATTTCAAATAAATTGGTTTTTTAAACAAGTGTTTCTGAGTAGTTTCTGAAATATCGCGTTTTTATATGGTCAGCGGAGCCTTACTACTTTGCACCAACGTGCGCCAATGAGCCGTTGAAACAAGTTCCAGGTGCTAGAAGCTGCTGGTCTTGTGTTAATCTTCCACAGACTGAACGCTTCACATTGACCGATTCGCATTTAAGCTGCCGCAAAAAGTAGTACTTAATCGTGATCCGATTTTACTGGAATTATATATGCAGTAATTTTGTCTAGTAATGACAAATGATTTGGATTGGTGAACTTTCATACCCGCTATAGTAGAAGCCAGATGTGACCGATGTTATCCGCTTTAAGAAAAAGTGGTTTTTGTATGGGGCAGTAGGCTGATTTTGACCATCTTTCATATTTATAACTTTCTGGCTTGAACACAAACGAATTTCATTCAAATACGTTAACATTTACCATTTCCGCCCCTTAGTTTAGTGGGTATTCTCATCTATGCGATTTTCCAGTTTCCTTCATTCCTAAGCATTAGTTCTTCTATAACAGATAATAAAATCCAGAAAAATCGGAACACACTGTGCGGCGATCTTGAAGTTTTTAGAGTACACACTCCTACTTGGTAAGATCAATATCCGACCCCTGGTTCGTGTAACATTTAATTGGTGTTAATGCGGGCTCCCAAATAAACGAAGTCAACTTGTCACTGTCAACAGTGAAGTGGGTGCCAAGACGCTTATGCTCTGATTGTTAGTGTCATGACAGGAGATACTTTGTTTTGTCGTGCCAACTCACTAAAATCAAAGTGTGGATTACACGGTGTAACTTAACGGAACATTCCATGAAATTTTAACGAACATACTAATGTCTGATAATGGCCACTTACATACATATATCTGGTCGCCACTGCATTTCAGCGACGGTGAGATCTTTCTACATTTTGAGAGCAAATTGGAGTCTGTATATATGAAAGTATATACATAAGTATGTGCGCATTTTTCAGAGTCGGAAATATAACATATATTCCTGCTAAAAACCACAAATCTAGCATGTACATACAGCTGCGGTCAAAATAATAGCATCAAATTCAAAATGATCTCTTGTTTGTTTATTTATTTTTAATAGTTTTCGTTTAAAATAATATTTGATCATATTAAAATTCAATCTATAACAGAAATCACGTAAATAACAATTTCAAAGCTTGCACAAAGTTCACAAAAATTAATCAAATTTCATCAAAATTTCCAACTTCATGTCTGGAATTTTTAGCCCATTTCAGATTTCTATAGCCCATTAATTTTTGTATAATAAAGTGGAAGTTTCAAATCGCTAAAATTTACCGTTGATTTTTTAGAATCTTTTTTTGCCGAGGGTGTTAAGCATTTTATTCCATGCGTTAGCATTAACAAAATTAATTTTTATATGGAATGCTAAAGACCCTCGCCAAAAAAAAAAAATCTAAAAATGAAGGGTAATCTTTAGCGACTTGAAACTTAGTTAATTTTCTACAAATTCTAGATAAAAAGTTTGATATTTGGATAGAATTTTTCGAAATTTGATCAATATTTGTGAAACTTGTACAAGCTTTGAAAAATTTCTTAATATTTTTTTTAATGAAATTTTTTTAAAAATAAATAACTCCACATAAGTTGCAAGCATTGTTATGTTATTATTGTGACCGCAACTGTATGCAGTTTGCATTTCGGTTTTTTAAATATAATCCCATACACTTTTTTCATTCTCTGGCTATTTCAGCTGCTTTGCTTGCTCTCACTATTTTCTAGAAACTTTAAGGATTTTAACTTTTGTTTTGTTTTGGAACACTAATGGCCTTCTTCATAATAAATAAAATAGGTTTAGAGAGCTCTATAAAGTGACATTTTCATAAAAGTTTTCGGTTTATAAAGCAGTTAAAGTCTTCTTTATTTTTTATGAATTTTGGTCTAAAAAGGTCTGGAAGAGGCGTGCTCTTTTATTGTTTTATGTGTAGCCATGTATATGTACTTATGTACATATGTATGTATCAGACATCTGCATAAATTCATTCAAATTATAGCTCCGCACGCCACAAGGTTTTTTTTCTTTGAGAAGCGTACATAGGTTACATTAGCTTGGGTGATCCGTACGAGCTCACATGGTCCATTAATTCAGTGTTAACAAGAAAATGGCGAGTTTTAACAATTTATTAGTATTTCCGAAAACTGGACAGTGACATTGCATAGCTGTAGCAGCTCACTTGAACAAAATATGTATTCGTCAATTTTATTGTGGCGTATTAATATTTATTTCAATAGTGTCATTGACC